CTTCAGGCTCTGTTAGGCTATGATTCTATGAGGGGCTTCTCTTGATCCTGCCACTAAATAGCCTGTGTGACTTTGGGAATATTTCTTACCCCCTCGGTCCAGCAGAGCTGGAGACCTGTCTGCTTCAGGGCTTGCGAGCAAGAGATCCTAATAAGGATCAGTTGTGACTCTTGGCACATTTTAAAGCTTTGCGGTGGCCCCACAATTCCAGGCAGTCCATGCCCTCTCCAGTGTGATAACACAGGACAGTGGATCCCCCAAAGAAATGAAGAGTCAACATCCGCCTCACAGAACTTCAGCCTTAGCTCCAGGCAGGATAGTGACACAGTACCATTGCTCTGAAATCAGCCCCGCATCACCCAGAACTATCCCCAGGTCACCTCACAGGACCTGGGGTGGATGGAACACTGGGTTGCTGCCGAGCATTGCTCTTCACTCCTGGCCTTTCCTCTCAGAGGCCTGGAAAACAGAGTCCCTTCCAAGTCAAACAAGAGCTAATTGGGCCTGGTACGCAAGCACGGGCATAAGGGAAATAGGGTTTCCTGATTCCGGCCTTCACTGATTAGACAGCATCCAGACAGCGTGCTTCCTCCAGGCGGAGGCCCAGCCTTGCTTGCCCGTTGGGGACTTTGCACTCAAGCCTGATGAACATTCCAGGGGTAAGAAACAGCAAGGAGCTGTGCCGCACGTTATGTTGTTTTCGTGAATCTCAGACCTAAAAATGGAGCCTTCTTTGCCCAAGAGCCTACAGCTTGAACTCAGCATGAGACAGCCCAGGCTTCCGGGACCTTCCTGGGGAACCTTGTGCAGTTGCCCAAGGCTCAGTGTGTATTCCATCCTTGTTTCTTTCCTCTTGGAAGTGACAATGGAAAACTCTGAGCCTTAGGAGCTAAGAAGGGCCAATACAGGAGAAAAAAATCATGAAGAGACAGGGAGGCAGAAGGGCCTCTGATTTGCAGTGGCAGGAGGAGAAGAAAGGGGTTATTCATGGCACTGTGTGTTCTTTTCTGGAGAACATGAGTTATAGGTTCTCTGGCCAAGGTCTTTAGTTGGGAGACTTGTTGGAGTGACCTTGGCAATGATCATCAGGGAAACACCTGAAGGAGGAAATGACTGCTTTTCAAAATTATTTCAAACGTCCCTTTCCCTAAAGATAGGTTTTCTTCATGAAAACTAGTTTGCTAGTTTTTTATAGTCTTTTATGATTATTAAGGAGTATATGCTTGATATAAAACATTTAGAAAATTCACCACTCATAACTAGAAAAATGTGCTTGAAGAATCTTAATTTGTATTTTCCCAATAAGCCTCACTGATTTCTGGATGGCCTTTGTGTTTACAATGGACCTTCTGCATGGGGGCTTGGTTTGCAGTTGGAAGTTATTTCTAAAAGGGAGGAAACCTTATCTGCTCTAGTGTGGGTCTCCAGGTGACAGTGGAGGACAGACCCAGCCCCTGCACAGGCCCAAATCCAGACAATTAGGCAGGGCAACATGAGCTTGTGGGCATGGGAAGTCAGAGAAATTTCTGGAAGCCCCAGGACTCAGAACCAGATCTGCATTCATACAGAAGTTTCCTGCAGCCTCAGCATGGGCCACTGCAGTGCCCTGTGTGTGTGTGTGTGTGTGTGTGTGTGTGTGTGTGTGAATATATAGTCAGCCCCAGCACCTGTTAGGAAAACAAGGGCTGGGCACTCTCTGGCCTGCCTCAGAGTAGCTCCTGAGTCTGACTCCTGAGTCAGCGAAGCACCAGCAGAAGTGTCATCACCTGATGGCCTGGTCCCCAGGGCCCCTAGTTTTGGGGTGTGCTAGCCAAAATCAGAAAAACATCTGAAATCTAAGCATTGCGGCTTGGAACATCAGCCCATGGGATCTGAGGCAAAGATGTAAGAGACCTCGTGATCAGAAGGCCTGGATTCGTGTCGGGGCCTTACCCCTGACAAACTGAGGACCTCTGTTCCCTCCCTGTTAAAACGCAGTAGCAATGTTTCTGTGCTGCCCGGAGAACGGGCGGAGGTAGAGAAAGGAGGAGGGCTTTACGCTGCTCTTTGTGCTGCAACCGGTGAAACATTGATGGTGCCACCTCATCAGTCCATCTCACATGGGATCAGGGTCCCTTACATGAGCTCTAATCCCTTCCACATTCCTGTGTCATTGTCTCTGCCTCAAGGCTGGTGGAATTCCTCCATAAGGACCAGCAGACATGCAGGCCAGAGAAACCCTCCAGTCCTCCGTTTTTCTGGGTTTGTTTTGGGGTAGTAGGAATGCTTTGGACAAGGGCACCCTGGAAATAATCTTGTACTTAGAGAATCATTGGTTTATTTTCAGGCTGTGTTTCTGCTTCAGCAGACACCCTGAGCAGCTTACATTTCTAATTTCCTGTCCCTCCTTTGCTTCTCCGTACAAATCACAATGTGCTGATGTCCAATACCTGGTTCTTTCTGCCTCTTTGTTATAAAATGCCTCTTCGTCCTGATGGTGTCAGGCATTGTGTTCCCAAAGAGGCACCTGGGTTACGGTCTCCACCAGGAAGGACATTCTGTCCTTCTTTCTCTACCTGTGGCCCTGTTAAGTTCAATGTCAGGCCACTCTTGCTAGGCAGGAAAGATTTGGGGGAGCTTCCCCGCTGAGCTTGGTACGGGTGCCCAGGGCTGCTTTCTCAAGAGTAGAAACCCTTCTGAACTGTTTTAAAACATCGACGCACCCTCTCACTGTTCCCTGCTCCTCTCCTACCCCAAGCAGATCTAGCAGTAGCAGATTGCATGCTCAGTGAAGCAGCAGGTTTTCTCTCTGCAGCTGCCACTTTGTGTCCTGACACCTTCCTGCCCCTGATTGCAGACAACATTGAAGGCTATGTAGCCTGAGCCTCGCCGACCTTTCACCATTCCTGGCTAGTCACTCCATCGTTCCTGAGGCCCTGCTGTCCCGGCACTGTCTGAGGTGCCTACAAAGTAGAGGCAGGCAGTGGTGGTCCTGGGAGACCTCACAGACCCAGGAGAGGCTGACTTGACCCCACACTTCACACTACCTGGTCCTCTGGGAAAGAAGGAAGTGAAACCTGGGGGAGGTACAATGGGTGGGCTCAATGGCTTATGAGGTGTCTGAGAGCTCCGCAGGCACCGCTCTGCCTCTCCATTGCTATCTTTTGCCCCCTGGTCTCTCCTCCTGGTGAATGCTTCTGCTGTCACCCCTGAGGCATGAATCCAACACCGTGACAGTAAGGCACCCCTCCCCTAATTGGAGGGTCCCTTCTCTATCATGCATGGTGGCCCAGGTCTGTTTGGTAGAACTTTAGTGGGTTTGCAACCTGGAACTGACATTAACCATTGGGAAGAAATATGGTAAGATGAACAAACAGTTGCCGAACTGCATTGCAGCCCATCTGCAATCCCATCACTGCGGTCTTGTGCAGTTAGATAAAGACTCCAGCGTCTCCGTTTGCTTGGGAAACTTAGTTTTGCCAAGGTTGTTATCACCAAGCAGGCGCCAGAGCTCTGTTCCACTCATAGTCCAATTATGGCAAAACTCAAACAATGAACCTGTGTGTTCCACGTGTAAGAATGTCCAGAGGGAATGCTTTCCCTCTTGCCAGGATCAAACTCCCGGCGCCCTTTGTGATATGTGAGACCTCAGAAAAGGTCTCTCCATTCCCAGACTTGGAGACACGTGTTAGAACTAGAAAACGGTCCACTGTGGCCCACCCTGGGCCAGGTCTCTGGTTTTCCTTCCCCTGTGCTAAACACTTCACCACATGGACCCTACTCTGTGATTGGTCAGAACTATCATGTGGGAGGGCTGGCATTTCCTGGCTGTGAGCAGAGCTGGTTTTGCTGTGATGTATTCCCCACCCTAAGGACTCTGGGGAAGGGTTGAAGCCCACGACAAAGTGCCCTCTGGCTTTCTGTTTCCCACAAGTCATAGTCCCCTCTGCTGTGACTGCACCTTCGGGGATATGGAACCTGGGACTCTCCGCCTTCTCCTGCTGCCCACCCCTCACAACACACACAAGAAATGGACATTAGAGAGATTGGAGAGCAGGACAGCCAGCACTCTAACCGTGTCACCTCAGGGAGGTTTCTGAGTCTTGCCTTCCCTTTTCCAAATGGAAGCATTTGGATAGAGGACCTGGTAGGGTCCCCTTGGCTGGCTCTCACATCCCATGAACTGTGGTTCTAGACTGGATTTCTAAATCTGACTAGAGAGAATTTGAAATTGAGGTGACAGTCCCTCTAAAGTAGCCATAATTCTACCTGTCTGTTCCACAGTTGACTTTCACCTAATCCATGGGTATAAGCCCTGAGTTGTTTCCAGCCTCCAGCCCCTGCCCAATGTTTCAGAAATGCTAGGCTCGGGGTGTTAATGAATGAGGCTCGCTCTAAAGCAGAACATGATTTTTGTTTCAGGCTCCATGTAGCTTCCTACATCTTTATCAGATCACCATTCACAATTGCTTCCCCTCCCTTCTCTCTCTCTCTCCTCTCCTGTTCAAGATAAGGGGGTAGAAAGTTCCACCTGGATTGTTGCTATCTTAAAAAGTGTACTTTGGAGCCAGATTCCAGGGTTTAGTCCCTCGTGTGAATTTGGGCAAGTTACCGAACCTCTCTGTGTGTCGGTTTCCTCAGCTGTGAAGTGACTATCGTCTCACAGAGCACCCATCTCATAGGGGTGTGGTGAGGAGTAAACATGGTGACCTAGTGCAGTGTTGGTGCGTCCTAGGTCTGTGCAGGTGTTGGCGAGCACAGTGATGCTGTCATCCTGTGGTAGCAGAGGACGGTGGGAAGAACATGAGGCTCGAATTCAGGAGACCAGGGTCCAAGTTCCAGCTCTGCCACTTGTTGATAACGCAGATTCTGAACCTCAGGTTGTGTCAGCTTTCATAGCTGTACAACCGGGTAAAATGATGTCTCCCTTCAGGATGGCTTTGAAGACCCAGGGAAATAGTAGTGGCGAACTGTTGTACCCCCACAAACCAGGCTAAGTCTGCTCTCTTTCCCCTTCTCAGGCATACATTCTGGCAGTTCCGCCAGGAGAACCCCAAGACCCGGGTTGGGGGCCCTCCCCCCGAGGGGCTCCCTGGCTTCAACAGTGGGGTGATGCTGCTGAACCTGGAGGCCATGCACCAGTCCCCTCTCTACAGCCGCCTATTGGAGCCGGCGCAGGTGCAGCAGCTGGCCGACAAGTACCACTTCCGAGGTCACCTCGGCGACCAGGACTTCTTCACCATGATTGGCATGGAACATCCGGAGCTCTTCCATGTGCTGGACTGTACCTGGAACCGGCAGCTTTGCACCTGGTGGAGGGACCACGGCTACAGTGACGTCTTCGAGGACTACTTCCGGTGCGACGGCCATGTCAGGATCTACCATGGAAACTGCAACACCCCTATCCCAGAAGTCTAGGTACATCCTCACCTGCCATGCCCTCGGGCCTCTGCCTCTGAAGGAAGGAAAAGGATGCCTCTGGGACCAGAGGTGGTGTCTGAACCCCTTGAGAGACACTGCAGGGACACCCTTGTGATCAGGTGCTGTAGCTCTTCCACCCCATGGGTCACTGTCCTGAGGCCACCCAGTGACAAGGACTGGCCTGCATGTTCTTGGTGCTTGGGGCCTTTCCCTTCCAGGGGGACAGGCATCACAAAGGACACACACTCAGACAGCATCCGGTGGGCTAGGAAACAGGTGTTTGAAGAGAAGGAAAGAAAGGAAACAGTGTCCTTTGCCTTCAGTCTCTGAGGAATGGAAATCCTTTTCGGAACCAGGCTTCCTTGGACCAAACATAAATTTATTTTTAAATTGATAGGCTTCCATTTTGCAAGAGAGCACAAACAGCACAGCCGCGGCTCCCAGTGAGCTCTGAACCAGTGGGCCAGGGTTTTCACAGCCGGCCCAGAGTTTAAGCATCCACACAAATGCCCACCTTCCACATGTGCACCCCAGGAGGCTACATGCTCATGTTGCATGCTGCAGGTGTAAAGATTGCCACCTCTCTGGGGAGGGCCTTCAGCACCAGCAGTGGCCCACATCAGAAAGCTGATCTCATTACTGTAGCCTTTACAGCTCTTACCGCCCAGCTGCACCACAGAACCTCATTATCCCTTATTCATGCAAGCCAGCTCCAGATGACCAGGCTGTGCTGGGAAATCAAATCCTCCATCAAAAGAACAGAGGTCGGCCCTCCCCAAGGACCTGCAGTGGATTTGTCTGGACTGGGAAGACTCATTCCCAAGGGGAGCCAAGCCTGCTCACGTGTATCTGTGTGGCTTAGACGGGCTGTCGCTCGTAGATTTATAGGCATTCTAGTCTCTGTTTTAAAAAATCATCCTCCTGACTTCCTCATTGCACCATGTCAGACCCTGGACCTTAGAAGAAATTAAGATATTTCTTAATTTCTTCTTACCTTAGAAGAAATTAAAATATTTCTTAATTTTTTCTTTTCATGAGTTCCCTTGTAAGTAAGCTACAAACAGGAAACTCCTGGGGATCCAGTTTGTAGAGTCCAGCTGAATTCCTTGGGGAAGAAGGGTTGGATTTTCAACATACGTTATTTCAATTTTATTTACTTTTTTATTTCTTTTTGCCATGAGTGAGAATAGCTAATAAATAATCTTTGAGAACACAGTGACTTACGTTGTTTGTTCTCTGATCACAGTTTTCCACTGCATGAAGGTGCTGAATTGAGAGTGTAATCAATGTCATCCAAAATCTCCATCTCCACATGATTAAGCTAAGCGAGTGCACAGCAGGTCTCCGAGGACTAAGGGAGAGCAGACTACGGGGAGGGTAGTAGTGTTGTATTGGGTTCAAATCGAGAATCATTTCGTTCTAGGGATTGGCAGGCCCTTCTGCTCCTGGGAGAGAAAACAACCTCATTTTTCTTCTGTTTACCCCAAACTATCCAATGACATCACCCTTGATGATGTGGAGCACATTTTTCTCCTAACTCTCAGCTCTGACAGAATCAGTCTGTTCTCTTAGGTACTTGATTTCCTACTTATAGCTACCAACCATTGAATGCCTGCTGTGTGCCAAGCGTCGTATTGGAGGATTTATATACACTACCAATAATACTCATGAAAAACTTATGAAGGTGATTAAGGTTCTAAAGTTATTGTAAGAAAATAATGAGAGATGTGGACAGGGAATTATTTTTTGTCACAGTATTTTTTTATAATAGAAAAAATTGGGAACAACTTAAAATGTTGAACAGGAGAGTAGATAAATATTGTATGTTACATCCATACAATGGTATACTTTAGGCATTAAAAATCATATTTTTGAAGACTAGTTAATGCCTTGGGAAATGTTTACAATGTGCTCTTCAGCATGCAAAATATAAGATTGTATGTACAGTATGCTCCTAATTTCATTCTTAAAATTATATACATATATACACACATACACACACACATGTGTGTATGTGTGTATAAAAGAGAGAAAGCCTGTTATGCTTTGTATCATTAGTTCAACTCCTAAAAAAATCATGTGTTTCAAACACCATATTAAAAATAAAAGCAATGATTTCAATGGGGAAAAAAAAGTGAATCAAATGCAAGAGAATTTTAGACTCACAATAACAAAAGTATTTTTTTTGCAATAATTCCAGTAATTAAAATGTTTCTGTAGTATAAGTGTTTTTTTATTGCAAGGAAAAAATAAACTACTTGGGCAAAAGCCAAACAAAACCTCCTCATTGACTTTTGAGATCACTTACTCAGGAGTTTCACCTTCCTCTGTCACCAGTGGCCTTGACCTTACAACTCCATGGTGAGCAACAAAGTAACACCCAACAGGTAACCCAGTCAGACCAACAAAGCTACCATATGCCCCTGAGCTCTATCTCCCATGGCAGCTTTTTGACAGGTCTTGGAAGGCTGACTTCTGATTGAACTCCTGTTATAATCAGTGCAACACAAATGTAATTAATTGTGCTCTGCTTAATTTGTCTTAGGAAAATTTTCACTGTAGAGCATATGCCGGTAGGTATGAATAGAACAGAAGTCTGAAAAGAGAACATTTCCGGGTAGTAGGATTAAGGTGCTTTTTAACCTTCACCTGTATTTACTTCTATATTTTCCATAGTGAATGTTAATTATTTTTATAATAAACAATAAATGCTCTAAAATTTTAGCCACCCGCCTTTCACCCAATTACAAGTATCATCCTGGCCATTATACAGCTCACTATATAGTTATCATCACCATAAGGAAATATAATCCCAGCTAAGTGGGCTCTCAGTTTTCAACTTTCCCTATGGATGCCCTAGTTCTCTAAATAAAAGTGACCTAATAACAGCATCTCCAAACTCTGCTTTCATCTCTGATACCGTCATCTTTTGCTCGTATACAAATCACAGTGGCCTTCAGAAAGCTCACGGGCTTGTGGGAGAGAGTTATTCTTGCAGGTGTGTCAAAACCGAACTACAGCTTCCCCTTCAATAGCATCTCATGAAGCTAAAGACTGGTGCCCTGGCCCAGCGGTCCCCAACCTGGAGCGTGACAGAGGTTTGTGGTTTAAGGGAGCAAGTGCAGCTGTGACTCGGCATCTTGCTTTGTCGGAAGGCCAAACTTCTGCACGTTCTAAGACCTCCTGGCTGATCCCAACATGGGGAGGCCCAGAGGTTGGGCAGGGCCAGCAAAGATTTCTGAACAAATCGGGTGATAAACGGTAGAGAGAACCTCACACCTAAGACAAAGGCCTGGCTTTGAATCCACATTCTGCCCCCAGTACCTGGGCAATCTTGGACAAACAAGGGCACTCTTTCCCCATGTCTAGATGCAGGTAATAAGAGCTCCCTCCAAGGAATATTGTAGGAAGAAAAGAGGGTGTAAGGGCTTGGGAAGCTGAGAAATGATATACAGATGCAAGGGAATTCTTACAGTTACTACTGAAAACATTCTTTTTTAAAAAATTAAGTGTATCGGGGTAACACTGGTTAATAACATTATATAAGTTTCAAGAGCATAGCCTATAATACATCATCTGTGTATTGCATGGTGTGCTCACCACCCAAAGTCTAGCCTCCTTCCATCATCATATATTTGACCTTCTTTACCCTCTTCATCCTCCCTCCATCTCCCTTCCCAACACCATACTGTTGTCTGTGTCTACAAGTGTTTAAAACATTCTTTTTAAATAATAAATGACAGCCATTTGGGGCATATTAAATTGCTGGTGACACTTTCCTAAGCCCAGTGGATGACCAGACACTTGCTTGTAGGCTGTCCTGATATGTTGTTATTTGCATATTGGTCTCAACATTTGTATGGTTTGTGAGCCCCTTGAGGGCAGGGACCTTGCCGACGTCACCTCTGCATGTCCCCCAGCACCTACTCATGCCTGGCACAGTGCAGGGGCTGCAGGGTGAGGGGAATGTATTCCCTGGGTGCTTGGGCTGGTCTGCTGTTTGGTATGAGATATGGGTAAAGCCAGAAGGCCCCATCACTTCCCTTCCACCATTTCCTTCCACTTCATTTTCACCGTTATGTATGAGCTCAGGCACAGAACACTGAGCTCGTGACACTCCCCAATGCATGACCCATTCCCACCACTGCTCCCAGTTTGGCCCCTCTCTTGTTTCATTTATTTATTCTCATGTATCACCACACCCCACTCCCATCCCCCAATGGACAATCATTCTAATCTTACCAGGTATCTTTTTGTGTTCTTGCAAAATGGTATTCTTGTTTTGTGTACATGTATTTTAATTTGGGTAACTTAGAATGTTCTCACGCTCTTTTTCATTTAGCACTACGTTTTTAAGATCTATCCCCATTATTATGCACACACCCAACTGCTGCCATTATGCTGTGGTGTGCTCCTGCCACAGTTTACCCACTATTGCCCACATGGATGGGAACTCACATAATCTGCCATCCACCTACTCACCCCCACCCTGGCCCCTCACAAATGACCCTTGTCCTCAGTCCTTATTGGACCTGGTCAGAATGTCTTTGTGTTGTATATCCAGGAATTAAACTGCTAGATTGTAAGGTTTGCAGATACCGACATTCCTGCCTCAATGGTGCCGATTGCTCTCCAGGCGGTCACCCCTTCAAACTCTCACCAACACAGGCCCTCACTTTCTCTGCATGACTGTGCTCAGGTTCACGGGTCTCTACGCATTGACACGAATGCGGACCTGTGATCTCAATGGAGTCCTCCAAAACTTGTGGCCCGAGTTAGAGCTGCTCTGTGTGTGAGTGGTATCACATTGCCTTGGAGAGAGACTGGATCGGAAGGCAGGGGCCCTGGGCTCTGGTCTGACCTCACTATGTGACCTTGACCAGCAGGGCACACCTCTGTGAGCTGGGGAGAGTTCAGCTGGCTCCTGGCCTTGCCACCCACCCAGGACGGCTGTGAGTAGTACGTAAGATAGCCCATAAGAAGAAAGTACTTTCAAGGCCCTAGACGTACCCTCGCTTTCTTGCAGCTCAGCTCGTCCCCAGTGCCACAGGCTGTCAGGGTGGATACTCCAGGCTTCCCTCCATGAAAGCTCTGCCGTCAGCCCAACTCCTGCCCAGGGGCATGTCCTAGCCATCTGGCTCCACAGCCAAGCTGCCTCATGGATAGAACCCAGTGTATCCCCATTAGGCGTCCTGCCCTCTCTCAGGTAGGCTCTTCTCTCACACCCCAGGCAGCCAGGAAGCTGCAACCTCTGACTCCCATCCAGCCTGGTCCTGGCACTGCCCAAAGCATAAAATGCTTTTATAGAAGGCACAAAGCCAGGGCTGAGAGTTTCTGCTAGGTGTGTATAGAATTTCTGTGTTTGCAAGGCATGCTGTCAGGGACGTAGTAATCTTCTGTTCAGGTGGCAGCCTGAGCCAGAAAGTGGCAGAAATGTCAATAGTCTTTCAAGGCTAAGTGAACACATGCTTTGATAAATCTAAGTTCTTGTTCATGGTCACGGGCAGGTAGCTTCACAGTAAACTTGGATCCATCTCAGCCTCTCCCACCTTTCAGGAAAACTCACCTTAGTTCTAATTCAGGAAGCCACGACAGCCCTCTCCTCTAGGCATCCCTTTGGGGAGCCTCTGTGGCCTCCACCCCCAGGAGGCCCAGGACCCTCCTGCCTCGCCACATGATTTGAAACTTCCCAGATGGGGCTCCCACCTTCTCATCCTGTGCCCAAACCACTGTGTGCTATGATCCCCCCCCCCACCCCCACTTCTTCCCATTGGGCTTCCGTTCCAGGGAACAGGCTCTGAGATGGGGATTCATGTGCAGGAGTCTTCCTGGGAAGCATTCTGTGGGAGCTTGCAGGCAGTCATGGCGAAGGCCTCGGCTGGCTCCACACACAGCCCCATAGCTCGGGCAGCCTTCCAGAGAAGCCCTGGTTGGAGCCTGGGAGCAGTTCAGGAGCTGCCCCCCGGGGAGAGGGCCCCCTTGGGGGAGGCAGCTCCCTTTGGCTTGGTAACTCCTGGATAGAGCCTCAGCTCTGAGCCCTCAGCGGCCAGCACTCCTGGGGGAACAAGGCCCCGTCTGAAGGGGGATCTGGGCAGTACACCAGTGCCCACTCCGGAGGCCCTGCCTCTGCAGGCCCGGCTTCCCACTGCCTCCTGCATCTTCCTCCTTGGCTTCCTCTAAATGACTCTGGCCTTTCAGCTCAGGGCACTTCCT